GCTTGGACGATCATATCTCTTTCGGTTCATGGCTGACTAGGCAGAAGATTTCCTCGTAGTAGGTTGTCATTTTTTTCTACGGTAGAGTGGTTCCCAAGACAAGGCTATGTGTCACAGTACGTCCTGTAGATAGCGGGGGGGGAGGGAGAAGAGATAGATTCATAACTTTATCAAAGGTATTTGCGCGTAAGTGAATATAAAGAAACCAACTGGAATTGGAACTCGGCTCTCAGATTAAAAATTCTGAGTCATTATCCATTACCTCACCCATACATCCAAGCTTACAACATCTGGTATTCCCAAGTGGTCTCCCATCTAGGTACTGACTAGACTTGACGTTGCTTAACTTCGGTGATCGTACGGGAACCGGTGTTTCAACGTGATCTGGCTGTTAGTCGTCGAGTACGCTGATCTCGAATCCGTAGTGAGTCTATAAGTGCAGAGTAATAATAGAATAACTCGGAATTCAAAAGCTTGATGAAAGCAATGGCAGCCCACTCCGCTCCCTTTTTCGAAGAAGGCGTGTCAATTCACAGATAATTAAAGAAAAGAAAGCTGCGGAGAGTCATGATCCGCCTACATCCTGAATACATAAAAAAATAAAAGAAAGCGATGTACTTACGGAAAGTTTGAGAAAGTTAACCATGATAACTTACCTAACAAACAAGAATTTTTTACCGTCTCCTTCGAAGAAGTCACTTCAGTCATATATAGCGGAATAACATAAAAGGTAGTCTTCACAAAGAGTAGCGAAAAAAATTCTGTACTTCATTTGGTTCCTGCACGTTGATCAATTTATCATATTGCTACCCACAATACTTTGAACACACACACACACGCACACACGCGCATATATATATATATATATATATATATATATATATATATATATGATGGACTCACCGTCGATTTCTACGTATGAAAATCCGACAACCTAATCCAGTCTTTATGTTTGCGTTGTATCTTATACTTCAGTTCTGCTAGTGACATGCATACAAGTCCACATATTATGCAACAGTTGTCTTTCGTGTCTTAGCCAGTCAATACGACTAATTTTGAAATTTCTTATACCCTTTTGGCACAGATATCTCCAGTCTATGGCAACTTGCTTGAAGTTAGTATGAGGCACATTGACAACTGAGAGGTTACTCTTTGACTTGTTTATATATATAACAACACTATACAATATCTACAAATAACCGCATTCGAATCCACAATTATTTCTACTTTTACTAGAATAATTTGAAAATGTAACTGCTAACACCCACCCACCCAATAACCGTTAGGATAATACAATAGGCCTTGCTCCCCATACTGCACCACTGACCAGCATATATAAATAGTCGAGAGAACACATAACACAAATGATATGAACATTACGTTCAAACAAAAAACGGATTGCCGTCGATCGGTGTTGACCCCAGTGCCCAATTTTATATCCACACTCTATCCCCTGATATTAGGCACTTTAACCCATAAATATAGCATACTTTAACCCTCACTCTCTCTCTCCCTATATATATATATATATATATATATATATATATATATATATATATATATATATAGCTGACCGAAAAGTTCATGCCCATTTTTAGCCGTTCATGTTCCAACACGTTAGAACACGACAGATATATGCTTGCATTTACGATAAGAGCACACTTCAAAATATCTCTTGAGAAAGAAGGTTTAAAATTACTTAATTCGTGTCAATTTTGCATCCTTTTGAAAATGGAAGACTATAAGGTGCATTTGAGACACTTAATGCTTTTTTTTACCGTAAAGGCAAAAATACCTCGCAAGCAACAAAAAATGTGCTGTGTACAGCGAAGGTGCTTTAGCTGACAGACCTGTACGCTAAGTTTAGAGTTGCTGATTGTAGCCTTATTGATGAAGAACGTTTAGACAGCCTCCTACTACAGATGACGATCAAATTAAAACATTGATTGAGAATAACCTGAACTACACAAACGCGGGAATTGGCAGAAACACTAAATTTATCAAAATACACCATCCATGAGCACGTAGTGAATCTTGGATATTCAAGTCGCTACAATGTTTAGATATCACACGATCTGAATGATTTTTTGAATCGCATTTCATCTGTGATTTGTTGTATAAAAGCAATGAAAATGCACCCTTTTTGAATCAAATTGTGACGGGTGATGAGAAATAGATCGTTTCAGCAAAAAAGATCCTGGGGTAAGCAACATGAGCCAACTTTATCCACCTCAAAAGCAGGTCTTCATCTGTGCTGTGCATGTGCATCTGGTGGGATTGGAAAGGAATCCTGTACTATGAACTTCTGCCAAGTAACCAGTCAATTAATTGTGAAAAGTTCTGCTTGCAACTGGACGAATTAAAGGCAGCAATTCAAGAAAAACGGTCAGTATCAGTGAACAGGAAAGGTGTCGTTTTCGATCAGGATAGTGTCAGACCTTACGTTTCTTTGGCGACCCGGCAAAAATTGTTGCAATTTGGCTGGGATGTGTTACTTGACCCGCCATATTCATCAAACATCGCTCCTTCGGATTTCATTTCTCTAGATACTTGACAAATAATCTCAATGCTAAACGTTTTAATTTTTGGGGTGACGTAAAAAAACATCTCGAGTTCTTTGCCGAGAAAGCACAGAAATTCTGGGAAGATGGAATCTTTAAGTTGAAGGAAAAATGGAGAAAGGTTGTGCAACAAAATGGTTCATATTTATTTGAATAAGTATTTAATGACATAATATTGTTTTGTGTTTTAATTTCCCTTAAAAATCAGAATAAACTTTCCGGACAACCGAATAAATTCACTGGTTGACATCTACCATGAAAGATAGATAGTTAGGGGAGGACCGGGTCCATGGCCTGCACGTTCCACCGACCTCAATCCTTTGGATTTTTATATATGTGGCCGCATAAAACCATTGATTTATGCAGCACACATTAATAATGCAGAGATGCTTCATCAAGATGTTACGGGGACTTGCGAAACCATTCGACACCGTTTGAAAGGGTCCACCAGTCAATGATCCGATGGGTGCATGCGTGTGTAGAAGAAAGCGGAGGACTTTTGAACAGTTGCTGTATTGACGTATAACGATGGCCTTTTGGACATATGTTTATATGTACATGTTTTTTGGGTATGAGGAACCCGCCCCAAAGTCTGTAAACTATTTTTGATACATCCTGTATATATATATATATATATATATATATATATATATATATATATATATATATGCGAATGACATATATATATATATATATGAATGACATATATATATATATATATATATATGAATGACATATATATATATATATATATATATACATATATATGCGAATGACATTATATATATATATATATATATATATATATATAAAACACAAATTGCGATTGATAAATTGTCCTATAAATTACGTAAAAATGAAAATAACACTGGCATCTCATTTTAATAGATATATTTACCAAAATTACACAAAAACATCTTGAAATACTAAAGAGTAAATTTATTCAATAAAATTGCCATTGGCTTCAAACCCGACCTTCAGATGACTTTGGAATCTCCTGCAACTCTTCTGGACGGTCTCCTTGTTTCAGTTGATGAATGCTGCCATAATCCTTGCTTCAGTTCATTTTTGATGTTACAAGGAATTTTGTTGGTCTCTTGCTCAACTGAGCCCCAAACATAATAATCAAGTGTGTTGCAGACTTGGGAGTTAGATCACCAGAAGTAAGGGCTGATGTGGTTGCAGAAATTGTCTGAAAGACATGAATGGGTTTGCTTGTTTGTGTGGCATTATGCACAGTCCTGTTGGCAGACATAAAGTCTTTCAGCGGCCACCCTCTTGATCCAGGACAGCTCTACTTCCTCAAGCCACGTGATATAGGCCTCCGTATTAGGTCTGAGGTTCTGTAGGAAGATAAATGGAGGCATAATGTCGCCATCACTACCGAATTCCAAACACTTTCTTAATCACCATTAGACTTATCGGATTATTTCCAAGTTCAGTGCATTGTCCTCAGATTGACACCTAAACACGCTAAAATGTTTGTATTGGAGCTTCCGGCGCGAATTCCAAGCAGTAAAGTATGCCGTTTCCAATTTTCTAGCGGAGTGAATTGCGTCATGGTGCTCTTTCTCTCACAGACGGTTCCCAACTGACCAACAAAATTAAAAACAAACAACGCGCATGCGCGAAATTAAAAATACGAAATGTCGACAGTTAACCCAACGCAACTTGTATATATATAAATGTATATATATCGTGATGTCAGCTACGATTATCTGTGTATTTGCAATACTTTACCGATGCCATCTTAAAGCTGAATCAGAATTGTCTTTGATGTTTTTCATTTGTTTATCATAACTATAGTATATTCTGAAGCTGCTCTTCTTCAATGAGCACCTTTCATTCTGAACAATATAATCTGTGCATTTCGTTTTGAAAGTAAGAGAGCAGAATTACAATGTGGCTCAAAGATTCGTAATTTTATGATAGTTCTATGACATTTTTTGAATCACTGATCCGAACTGTCCGTGGGGAAACCACAATAATTATATTGAGTCTAGAAACATGTCCTTCCATCGACTATCTATTTCTTTTTTTCTCTTTCTTTTCTTCTCTTTACTTTTTTTATACAGTTATTTACTGATGTATAAATGATGGCTTTATCTTATTTCGTTAAAAAAAAAGAACTTGAAAAGCGAACAGCCTCGCCGTAGGCCTTATCGAATAATATTAATTTCTTTTGTGGTTGAATTTCGTCAGTTCTTTGATGTACCGCCTAAACTTTTCCTTGCGGAAAGACATCGAAAATTATTTTACTTTTTCAGGTTTTATCAGTCACCCACTTTCATGGAGAAGGTTTTTTTTTACTTTGTCATCTTAAGATATATTGGATAGCTTTATAAGATATTCCACCATCCTATAATCCTTACAACTACTACTACTACTACAACTATAAGATTTGTTGCTGCTGCTGCTGTTGTTACTACCACAATGGCGTACGACCATATCACATTGAAACGCCGGTTTTCGACTGATCTCCGAAGTTAAGCAACGCCGAGTGTGGTCAGTGCTTAGACGGGTGACCTTTTGTGACTATCAGATGCTGTAAGCATAGGAATGTGCGGGTGGTGTAAAGGATAGCGGCTCGGAATGAATATACCGTTACAAAAAATATGACTCCACCTCTTATCTCCCCCGCTATATGTTAAGCAGTAGGATTTGTTTTAAAAAAGAAATTGTTAATTCAATATTCAATCACAAAGACAGAATTATTCTTATTATATGCAAAAAATATGAGTCGGCATTAAATAACTCACAAAGTGTTGATAAAGCGTAAAAAACAAATTCCAACAACCATAGCATCCGTAAGAAATATTACAGAATTATTCACACGTGGAACGACACTTCTGTCAAAGAGCTGTTGTGTTTTCCTATAGCCAGTGTCGTTTAGGATCAGCGCACTTTTGTTAGGTTTTCGCGCTGGGATCAGAGTGTACTACCTGTTCTCTCTTCTTTTTAAATTTAAGAAGGAGGCTTGGTCCTGGGGCTTCCAATCCTACAGTAACACCTCCGACATTGCCTTAAATAGGAAGGGTTGGTAGATCACCGCCAGCGGTACAGTGGTTGGCGGGGCTGGGCAATTATTCTTCTTGACACATATGGACGCGTATGGACACGCCCCATCAAACATATTTTGTGTCACATGCTGGCACCATCGGTAGGCGGATAAATACTGCGCTCATTCAGGCTGGGATCAAAGTATAGTAAATATGCTCTTTTCCTATTAAAGTTATGATGGATGTCTACTTTCAGGCATTCCAACCCCGCGACAGAAGCAGACATTACAACCCTGCGGCAGAACCTTCGTCATTGCTCTAAAGAGGGAGGGTTGATGGATGCAATTATCGCGGGGACTAGAAGAAAATCATTGATATTCTAAAAAAAATGTTAATGTTTTTTGACAAGCCTTGAAAAAAAAATCAATTCTCTCAGTTGTGCTCTGGTAATACTTGGCTTCTAAAAATAACTTCTTCTTCTTCTTTCTAGCTTTTTTTATTTGTTTATTTGCTTTTGTTTATTTGCTATTTGATACGATCCTTTAATAAGTACTTGACCTCTGACCTGGGCTAAAGGAAGGTTCTTCTTATAATGTTATCGGACATCCTGGAAGTTAGCATCAGCCATTCAGATGGAAAGCAGAGAGGGATCTCACGGTTGATTCGTAGAAAGAAGTTTAGTTTTGGAGGCGTTAAAATTAACAAACCACCTTTAATCCTAGTTAACGCCGGATTTTAGGTCGGTTTGGACATCGATTATTCGAAATGCGATATTTTATAAAATTGGTTCGGTTCATAACAGCGAAAATAACGGTGATCTGTCTGAGTGGCTTTATTTGATGACACTGAGAATGCCATTTCTTGTATTATAAACGTATTAATTGAGGCAATTCACGAGCTCGGCCCTCCCATCTCTTCTTCCTCCCGACGTAATGGTGCTAGTGTCTTCGAAGCATTCACCACCACTTCTGTAAGTGCCATTTTATTCGCTATATCGCCTTTGCCGCGTTCGTCTCCCAGAAGCCATTTTCTATTATCTTCCAATTAGCATTTTATTATGTTCCCTTTTTCCCGCTGAAGTCACTTTATTTTATCGGTTGACCAGATTGTAGGATATGGCCATTTTTCTGAAAAATAAGTAATTAAATAACAAAAATAAATAAATAAATAAGTAAAACGTTAATGACACTTGTTCTTTTTTATGTGTCGTGTTCCTTCTGGTCGTGAGCAATCGATGGCTCTTCGTAACTTCCTATCTATTTCAAGTCTAGGCTTAACCGTTATCAACCCCACACATCCGCCTAAACTGTGCCTCTTACTCTGTAACCTCGAGTGGCTCTTGGAGCTTTGTACAACGTGAACATCATCGTAAAAGAATAATCTTCCCTTTTTTATCCCCACTCTGCCATCCAAATTTGCTAGGTAGATTACTCTCTGTTTTTTTCTGCCCCTCCTTCTTTCAATATGTCTTATGAGTGTTAAATTTTCCAAGCCCCCTTCCTCATTATATGTCCCACAAATTTCTCTTTCTGATTTTAACAGAAGGTTCCTTAAAACTTCCTCGGTGCTTACGTGTTGTACCCGTGGTATTTTCAACATCGTGACCACATGTCAAGTCAAGTCCCTTTCAACGGTAAGGAAATTCGTTGCTACACAGGAGGATAGATGTGATATCGCACCTATTTCTTTGTTTTTAGCGAAATTTTCCTGTTTCTTAATATTTTGCTTAATTTCTAGAAGTGACCTTTGTTATTCTTGTGTGCATTCTTATCTCATCCTAAATTGTTTGTTATTGCTCGACGTAGATAGTTACATTTCTGTATTTTCTTCAGTTTTCTTCCTTATAAGCCGTGTTCAGTCATGGCTCTCCACAACTTCCTGTCCCTTGCAGCACTTAGTAAACCATGTCCACCTGCTATTTCTCCCAAGCCCTGTTCCGCCATCCGTTTCTTAAAGATCATCAAGTATATTTTGCGTTGTATTCCTCTCTCTGTCTCTCTTGTCCTCAATCTGTCCCGTGACTATCAGATTTTCTAAACCTGCCTTCCTCGTTTTGTTTCCCAGGCACCTCAACCGCCTCTTCCTGATGTTAAGTATTATTTTCCTTTTTGTTTCCATTTCCCCCCCAAAAAAAAAACTTCGTTGTTACTCACATGTTCAGTCCACGGTATCCTCAGCATCGTTCTGTAGAACCACATTTCTGTTGCTTCAGTTCTCCTCATCATCTTTGGGGAGATCGTCCAGTACTTACTGACATACAGGAGGACAGGTATCACATAGCACTTTAGCACTATTTTCCATGTTTCTACCGAAATATTCTCATTGCTTCCAATTCAAAACTCACACCTTTCTTTGTCTCTCTACTCTCTGTCTTATATAATTAGTTTTTTTTCTTCTCGCTTTGTTTTGCAGGAATTTTTGTAGTTTTCCTTCTGAGTTCTCCGTCAGCACAATATCTTATGACAAGATTATAATACATCTGTGCGGATAATACCTCCTGTAGAATTTCTAACTCTTCTAGGATTATCTAGTTTTATAAATTAAATAAACCCGGCGAGAAAAGTTATCACTATCTTACTCTTCTTTCCATTTTTGCATACTTGATTCATTATTTTCCTATCTGCATGCAGTCTCTTTGTTCCCAGTTATACTCCTATGAATATTGGAGTTGTGGAAAGTATGGCATTCATTTCTGGGGTTCTTAATATTTCATTTTCTGTGCAGTTTTTGTTGCTTCTTTTGTTTTGATTAAGAGATTTGTTTGATATCAGGGAAAAATATCGATTTCTTTTCTATTAACCACCACCACTAGCAGCATTATAAATCTTCAGTACCACTGGCATCAAAAGATTGGTCATGATGACCGCTATCCACCCTGTTCATTAAAAAGTCATTGATCATTATATTAGAATAACAACTTCAACTGTCATTATCGCAATCATTTCCACGGCTATCTTCACTATCAATTTATTTTTTCTGACCAATCGCAGCCTATCATTATTATAGTCAATATCTTTCTCAATAATTTCATCGTCGTCATAGTATCAGTATACTAGTTATTTGTTAGTATTTTCTACATGATAACAACTATTACGAATAATAATAAATTCCATTGTTAGAACTGCTAAGAAAGTTGGTTCACTGTGTCGTTCAAGACAATTGTTCTCTTCAGAATCTATCTTCCATATCCATAGGTCAACATTCGCCCATGTTCGGAATATTGCTGCCACATAAAGTCTCGTACTCCTGCTATTTATCTAGAGCTTCTTGATAAATTCCAAAGAAGAATTAGCAATATTATTGGTCTTGATATTATTGGTCAATATTATTGGTCTTCGCTTCAGTCACTTTCCTACTAACGTAAGATTACCTGCCTGTGACTATTCTATAAATGCTTTCATGGTAATTTTTCGGATGAGCTCTTCGCTATAGCGCCTAGATTTTTTGAATTTAGGCGTAGTACTTGACTGGCGTTGAGATCTCATCTATTTACAATTGAGATGGCTAAATATGAATACGTTCTATGCTAACAGCTTCTTTTGTCGCTCTTCTCGTTTGTGGAATTCTCTTTCGGCTCCATACTTTCCAGCTAACGTTAATCTTTAAAATTTTAAATGCGATATCATTCGCTATCTACTCTTCTCCTGATTACTGTTTTTGTTCTCTCTGCTTAGTAATGTTTCTATTTCTAATTCTTTCACACACAGTAGCCACTTGTGTCTTAGTGGTTTACTGCTATGCATAGAGTGAACAAATAATAATAATAATAATAATAATAATAATAATAATAATAGTCATCAAAGACTCCAAAAATAGAATGACTTTCTTATTGGAATGACAGCTGTTGCAGAGTGTAATGTATCTTTGAATATCTTAAAAAACTATTCAAATACAAGGTTCTTGAAGTGGAAATCTAAAACATGCGGTACATGAAGACATCAATAATTCCAATTGTGGCTGGGTCTCTGAATTTGGAAAAAGTTCTGATAGACAAATTTAAACGATCTCTGTTAATCCATGTCTTAAAATACCAAAACAGTAGCACAGCTCAAACCTTACGAAGGTCTTTATCTATATAAAATGTCTGTGATCTTAGGTTGTTTTAGTTTAATTTTAAATTTTTGTACAAAAATGTTCATTGAAAAATATTATGATGCCATTTCTGAACTTGGGTTTCTGGTTGGAATCCGAAAGGAACAGAAATAATAATAATAATAATAATAATAATAATAATAATAATAATAATAATCCACAAATTATACAGAATTTTAAGATACCATCCTCTGGAATTTTAGCGTTCAGACTGCTCAGGAAATTCAGGTAAATCGATCAGACATGTGTGAAAAATCAGATTGAATGCACACATCTTCTGATAGATATTGCAGCCCGAGCCGACAAACAGACATATTTGAGAAACCAGGTAAATACAAAGACCTCAAGAGAGAAATCGATAGAATGTGGCATCTCAAGACGGCAACATCACCTGTTGTTATTGGAGAATGATATAAAAAAGAGCAAATATATATGTGGATCAAATTCTTGGTAGCCTTAAA